TAGGTAATTTACCAAACGACCAAAAAGATTTCGGGTAATGAGCAGGTGTCCCAGAAATTATGAAAATAGCTGTAATAGCTGTAATAATACATAACCTGACATGCGATCATATTGAGACAGGGAATAACTATTACATACGTATTACATTTATCTAAATTAATACAAACAAAAAAATTAAACAATCATAGATTTTAAATAACTTATTTAAAACATTAACACATTTTTATATTATACTCAGAAAATTATATAAGTTTTCATGAACTTAATTAATTAGCTTATTTCAAAACTTAAATAAAATTTCTTCATAATCTCTAAAATAACATGAACAAAATAAAGTTAATAGTTATCTTTCTGAAATCTGAATAGCTTAACCTAAACACTTAGAGCATTAATTATCTTCATGCTAACGTGATAAAATAAAATACTTAATTCTGATAAAAACTCACTCGCACATTACAAATATTTTACTTGTTTTTAGTCAAATCCTTTTTAATGATCGACAAAAAATTTCCCCAAAAATGATTATAAATTTTACTGGTTGGTATTCTCATAAAGAAACTTTTTAAATGAAAGCTAATTTTAGGTTTATAAAATTTTATTTTTCTTTGTAAATTTTTTAAATTATGGAAAAATATACTTAAAAAATATATATAGTATATACATACTATATATATTATTTAAGAGAATTTTTATTTATATCTGGCAGATAAATTATATATATATTTAAAAATCGCCAATATATAGTATATCTTAAATTTTGCTATGAAACCAACTTAAAGGTCTTAAACAAAATATATATATATATATACACCTTTTCTAATCTAATCCTAACTTTAAATTTAAATAAAATGTTTTTTTTATACAGTATACCGGTTAGCTTACTCTATAGGTAACAATTTCTTTATTTAATTACTAGTTAAAGAATAAAAAATAAAATTTATGCTTATTATATTGTGTATCACTCTTAATAAGGTTACCAATGCTGTAAAATTTATAACTACAGAACTATTAATACTAAATATATATATAATATACGTACGTATAAATTAAACTTCATTATATATCTGATATGTATATACCAAAACCATATAAATAAAGCATTAAAAGATATTCCTGAATTCTAGTCGAGACAGATCCTGCATCCGATGCATTGGCCAATCAAATCAATTAGGTCAGTAATTTTTCTGGTCAGGGTACTTAATGTATGTTTTACAGTATGTGAAATGTTACATTAATAAAAACACGTACAGTACATACGAATAAGTGATAAGATCTGCTCTATATTACGATTGTTGAAAGGCGAAACGCATTGCTAAGTTACGTGAAAGAAGTTTCAGAATCTGAAGAGCTCTTTGATAAAGAAAGAAAGATAGAATTATTTAGTACATATATGTAATATAATATATAGCTTTAATATTATTTTCTATTAATAAGTTTAATATTGACATCATTACGTGTTAGTTATAACGACATTTTCAACTTCATGCGATCGGCCAATCACGGTAACAGGTAACCTCACACAACGAAATCGAAATATCAAAGATCAGCTGAAACACATAACACACTATTTCCCTAAATGTTATATATACACGTTTTGACGTGGAGACACAAAGCGTGAAAAAAAAAGAAAACGGATATAGTTTCAAGAAAATAAGGATATAACGTGAATAATCAATTTTTCATTGATTTATTAAATTATATTAGTTCAAATATAGTATTTCATCATTATCGGATCATAACAGCATGACTCCGCGCTTTCTTATGACACATAATTAGCGAAATTATTTGAAATTATTTCGTAATTCACAGCGTTTATAAAAATATATCACCCTACACTTAGAGTTATGAGTCATATATGGTAAATTTAGAAAAATGAGCCTACAGGATATAATATTCCGTATTATTTTAATTAAAAGTAGTACTGATTTTATATTTTATATTATTCTGTGTTAATAAGTTAATAACTTATCAAGCAAATCAAGCAATCGAATTAAACAATGCTGTGTAAGGTGCTGCAAAGATTATTTTCTTAACTTACAACAATTGGTCCTAAAACGTTAATCATGATCAACACATGACCTTTTAATATTATTATAACTTTGGTGAGGAATGGCAATGTCGCTAGCCATTTTTGCCAGTAAACCCTTTCTCAAAAGAATTACTTTAAAAAAAAAATATTGACATCAGTTTTTATACTGTTTCTTTGAAATCAATTATCAATAAAAACCCCTTAATCTACTATAAAAAACAAATACTTTTTACATGTCTTTACGATCAATTTCATCGCCTGTAGCTACTACACTTACGCAGCCATCACCATCAAACGATTTATATAACACATCCTATAACAAACCATTTTCAATAATGTGTACTGATTTTTTAACAGGTCTCTCGAGAGATCTTTCTTTATTACTCAATGATACTGAAAGTTATGATACTATTATAAATGTTGGTGAAAAACATGATTTTAAAACTTTTCGTTCGCATTCAATAATACTACGTGTTAGGTCTCCTTATTTTAAAACCGCCTTGTCAAGCGAATGGGCTAAGGTTGAAAATAATCTAATCACTTTTAATAAACCTAATATCAGTCCAACTGTTTTCGAAGTTATACTCAAGTATGTTCTTTTTTCAAAGTCTTAAATTCTTCGTATCTAAATTACTTATTATTTTTTTATCCTTCGTTTTCCTATTTACTTATAGGTTCATCTATACTGGAAAAATCTCTCTTGATGATTACGATGCTTTGACAATTCTTGATCTCTTAGTTGCAGCTGACGAGCTTTGTCTTCAAGAACTCATAGATCACGCTCAAGATTATTTATTATGCTATAAACCAAGTTGGATGCAAAGAAATTTTGCCACTACTCATAGAATTGCTTTTCAACATTCTTGTGCTTTTACAAAATTAAAAGATTATTGTTGGGAAATTATCAGAAATGATCCCGAGTTGGTGTTTCAAGCTGAAGATTTTATAAATTTGGAAGAGAGTGCTTTGTTAAATTTATTGAAACGTGACGATTTAATGATCAAAGAAATAACTATCTGGGAAAATTTAATTAAATGGGGAATTTATCAAACTTGTACCATCTTACAACGACAAAGTGATGATCGTGAATGTGAAAACGGTGGTTTTGTTATTTGTGATAAAGATGAATCTTCCTTACAAAATAACTCTCCATCGTCATTGAATTACTTTTTAAACTATTCTTCATCTCCGTCTTCCCTTTCTTTAGTAACTGCTTTAGCGAATCTCTCAGCTACAACGTCGGTTAAAGATATTTCTTTGTGGTCCTCTAAAGAATTTTCTATTCTTGCTTCTGCTCTTGAAAAATTTATTCCTTTTATTAGATTTCTTCAAATATCTAGTAGCGATTTTTATAAGAAAGTTAAACCATTCAATTCGATTCTTCCTTTCGATTTGTATGATGATATCTTACAATATCACCTAGTACCTGATTCCGTTCCACACGATGATTTATCTCAACCAGAAAGAGCTGCAATCGACAGTGTTATAATAGAAAGAAAACATGCTGCTTTAATTGCTAGTTGGATAGACGGTCGTGGTCTTTGCAATGATGATTCTAATAATGAGAAATCCCACGACAATTGCACGGTTTCTTCCATATATGAACCTTGGGATAATCCTTATGAATTTAAATTACTTCTTAGAGGTAGTAGAGATGGTTTCTCGGGCTCTGAATTCCATGAAAAATGTGATTCGCGGTCTACTACTGTTACTGTAATGAAAGTTCATGGTACCGGTGAAATTATTGGTGGTTACACGCCTATTCAATGGTTATCTCAAAATACTTGGGGATACACTGAAAATAGTTTTATTTTTTGTTTGGCTTCTCAATCTGGTAGCACTAGTGACAATATATCACAAACTTGTCATTTTTCAACTTCCATTACGGGTACAAATAGCAATATGTCTCAAAATTTTCCTGATCCTAGTAATTTCTCTCAGAGTTCGAGCCCTACAGGTTCTCGAAATATAATGAGTAGAGTTCGAGATCCCGCCCGTGCGATAAATTATTACAAAAATTATGGTCCCTCATTCGGTAGAGATGACTTAAAAATGGCCGGAAACTTTAAATTAGATTCAAGATGTTGTTGTAAACAAGGCGATTATGAACTTCCTATTCGTGAAAATACCGGCTACTTTTCAGTTGATGAATATGAAGTTTTTTCTATACATCGTCGTCGACCGTTGGGTAAAGAGGAAGACAAATCAATTGGAGGATTTAATAATTCACTCAATGATGGCGAGAATAAGAGTATTAGCGATAGCATTGGGATAGCGTATCAAAGTGGACGGTCCGGAAATATGACTAGATCCTTGACTTATTAAAAGTATACTTTTTTTTTTTTTTTTATATATATTTAATGTTAATAATATTTAGACGAACATCAGTGATGTTAGAAAGGTAGAACATTTATTACATACTATATATTAACATTTACACGCTGAATAAAAAAAAGTGGCTTAGTGCTTTTTTTGAAAATTGGTGCTAAAGCTAATTAATAGATAGATAGATAGATTGACAATTATAGTGTATAGATTTTATTGTAAACTATAAACAATGCTTCCGAGAAATAATTAAATAGATTTTATTTTGAAAACTTTTAATGCAGTACATTTATTTCTGGTGTTTAGAATTAATGTTTTATTAATCTAATTTATAATTTTTAATAAATAGTACGTACTAGAATTTATATATATTTAAAGAATTATAATTATTATTATTTATAGTAACAATTTTTTCAAAATTTTTGATATTAAAATACCGGTAATATTTGTTGTGACGAAAATTTTGTATAGTATAAAATAGATACGCAACTGAAATACTGTACAAATTTTTAGAGTGCATTTTCTAGCTTTTTTTTTTTTTTTTATACTTGTCACTCGATCATACATACAAAAACGGAATACATCTCGCCTCGCTGCTCACGTGATATACAGCTAGTTCAAAAACGCCCATTACCATTCCTCCTCTACACTTTTATTGCCCTCAACGGTGGGTGGATGTAGGGCTGTTAAAAGTCCAATCCTTTCGGTCCTGACTTCGTAAATAGGGACTTCTATTAGGACTCGGTCCTTGAGTCGAGTCCGTACATGTAATAATCAGATAAATCTCGATATAAATTAGTCAATCATATGAATGCCTCCTGATCACAATACGAACAAACAACATGCATTTGACCAATTATATGGATCACAAGTTGGAACAAAAGACATGCATATGGGACTTTGTACGGGACAGGTTTGAGTCAGTCCTAAAAAGTCCGTGTGAAGTCGACTCAAGGACCGGGTCCAACAAGCTTTTTAACAGCCCTAGGTGGATGGGTGGGCATTTGGGTAGTTTCAAGAACAGTGAACCCAGTTAGTGATGTATCCCAAACTGTTTCGGCACCAACTTTTGATCGGGATTTGGGATTTTGCCGATATAATTGCTACGTATTTGGGATTTTATTCGGCAGATGACGAAACTATCGGGTTTTATCTTCATGATCATCTCATCACATGATAAAACACTCGCTGAGTTAGGGTTAGGTGATAGTATAGTAGTAGTAAACAAATGACGTCATTGCATAACTTAGTGTTCCGGGAATTTAGGACTTGCGTCAAGCTAGCAGCAAAGACAAAAAGGGACAACTAATTCCCATTTCTTCTCCCTTAAATAGACATTTGCTATGACCTCATACTACATCACCCAATCTATAAAACGTCATACTGGGTGACAAATGGATGCCTCGTGACTTCGTTCACGGCATCGCAAGACCGGAATGTGTGACAACGTTTGTATTAATGTTAAAATCGTTCAAAAAAACTTTTTATTAAAGCACGAATTAATATTTCTTATGCAGATTTTTGAGAAATAACCGATTTTTAGCTGTGTAATGTTACACCTAATCTTGATAGTCTGGCACTAATTTGTCACGCATTCCGATAAAAATAGAAATCTCATTAATTCTGTAATTTATTTATTATATAGTACGGTAAACAGCTTTTGAGAGATTATCAGATTTAAAATATTCCTGACACTGGCCACATGATTATATAAATATAATCACCTTTGAAATTCTTGATTCATTAAATAATATGAGATTCAATTTGCAGAGTCCTAAAGTGAGGAAACTTATGTGACAGATGTGATATCCCCTCTTTTACAAACTTCATTAAAGAAACTACCTATTAAGAATTTTGCCTTCCTCAGCTCATAAGTTTTATCATCGATTCAACACCAATTCATATAAGGTTAAAAAGTGGGTACTAAAATTTTTCTCTATAGTGCAGAACAACAAAGCCTAGCTAGCGCAGACAGAAGAGGAGATGGAAAACAGGGAAAACGTCCCGATATTATGTTAATGGAGAAAAACAAAGGCAAGCTTTATGAACTCATGTTTGTAGAATGTTCGCACCTAGTCTGCATTGAATGCAAAAAAAAAAAAGACAAGACAAAACTATGGCGGAAATAAATAATGGGCTTAATTGGGTATATAAGGGTTGCAAACCAGACAGAAATGAGTTCTGAATTGTTGGAATACAAGTAGTGAGAGATATAATGCACTTAAACATGATTGTTAAAGATGAGGATGAGATTTATCATTACTATCACTTATGTTCAGTGCAAATTTCAGTACAACCAAGTGATAGTGAAAGTATTTTTAATTTGATAGAAGCATTATTAATTTTACAAAATATTGTAATTGTAAATATATCGTTACTATTACATTCTTTTAAAACTAAATCTCGGAATTTAAAACGAAAAGAAGTTCTATAATAAGTTCTGATACAGAAAAATACATTAATTCTCACTTTCCCAAAACCTATCTTCCCAAAATACCATTTTCTAATCTTATAATTCTGATATCCCTTTTTTCCAACAAGATATATTTCTGACAGTATATTTTACTAATAAAAATTTTTCACTGAATTTTTTTTCTCGACACAACCAATTCCCTGACAACCTGAATTTCTGAAAATTTTATTTGCCAAATTTTTTTTTACCAACAAACCCCTTTTTTTGAACACCTGTTTTCCAGACAACAATTTTTTCTGAAGTCTTTTCACTGAAAAATATTTTTCCAAAAGGATGTTTCTCTGAAAAGGTGTTTTCCCAAAAAGATATTCTTTAAAAAGAAATTTTCCAACAAGAGATTAAACAAAATTACATAAATTAGGCCAACTTAATGTAAACTAGGCTAGCTTTGTCAGTGAAATAGCTGTCATTGAAATGTTGTTAGCAATTAGTTTATATCTTTTTTGGGCTATCAGTGACTCAGAATTTTGGTAAAACATCCTTTGGTAAAAAAGCTTTCAGTAATATATTTTCAAAGAAATAGAATGTCAGAAAAAATGTACCATTCGGCTAAATATAATGTTAGTAAAATAGATATTCATTTTTTTAATATTTGGTGAAATGGAAATTGCAAATAAATGACTTATCAGTAAAACTTATTATCAATTAAATAATATTTTTGACTTTCAGAATTATGTCTTGTTAGTAAAATAGAATGTCAGTATTATGACTTTGATGAAATGGTATTTCAGCAAAATTGATTTCAGGAAGTTAACCTATAACCAAAAAAATCAAATATTTGGTTTATTTTTATTTGAATATTAATTTGTATACATAATCAGTTTATTTTTGCATGTATATTGTGTGAATCTATTCATTGTATTGTTATCGATATATATTAACTCATATATAATCAAGAATTTTTAAAAATTTTTCTTGTTACAAATTGTAATATACATGTGACTTTTTATTTTCACGATGAATTGAATATACATATCTTAAATAAAAACAATAGTGAATATGCAGAATCATTAAGAGAATTAAATTTCAAACTTGTTCTTCAGATTGATGAACTTAGAAAAAAGTTCACAAAGATTGAAACCAAAAATATAAAATTAAAACAATCTTTGGAAGAATATGTGGTACTTAAGATCTGATTTGAAGAGCTAGAAAAAAAAAAATAAAGCAAATACTGCCAATCTCACTTCTGAAAGTATTAAGCTTAAGAGGGTTAGAGTCCCGTAGTCTAGTGGTCTAGGTGCTTAACCCTTCATAGACGAGATTGACGGTTTGATTATAGCTGGTGGTAATTAATTTAATTAATTATCTCTGTAACCTTCAGGAGCTTTCGAATGCGGAACCTTGTAGCGGTAAGACCATGTGATGTATATATTTGGCCTATAAAGAATTCTTGGAAGGAGCCCCGAGCCATAGAGAAGACTGGGCACTGTGTGTGATATGGGTCACAGAAGGTTTACTGCAGAAGACTGTGCATGTGAATCCATGATTGGCAAGGTAGCACCAACAACCCTAAGGTGGCATTGGGATCTTGATTGGGAGGACGGCTATATGCGGTATTTCCAGAAGTAGTAAGAGAAGCGGTGAATATAGTAAGAGGCTGTGGTAAGAGGATGGCTTTATCAAATATAAAACACCTCTAGCACAAAGAAACAATGAAAACTGGCTAAAAGAAACCCCGAAAAGCATGAAAGCAAGCGATCCGGTAGTACAAAAATAAAGACAGGCTAGGGAGTAATAGTCGTACAATCTATGGAAGTCTATAACAAAATATGGCAGAAGCGTGGGTCCCGGGTCACTGGCTTGTGATAGTGATTAAATGAGGTACATAACTTTCGTCCTAAGGATCAAAACTTCTGTAACACCATACCAATAGAGAGTACTATAAAAGGATTAGTAGCCTAATTTGGTGGTATACGACGCGAATACCTGGATCAATGTGAAATATCATTCTAGTTTGGCAACTTAACTGTTTGAGATATGGCTAGGCCTATAAAGTAACTCCTCTAAAGACACCAAACTGGAAGCATGAAGAGCGCCCACTCGAAGGACACCAATTTGGAAGTAATACAAGTACCGAATTAGGAGTAATGTGATAAGTGATGAGGGATGAAAGTTGGTTGGTGAACATTGTACAGTAGTATATAAGCGGGATATATATAATAAAAATAGGTTTAGGAACCATCCGGTGATTTAGTAATTGGTCTAGTTGCAGGACGGTTATTAAGGAGGTAAAATCTCATATAGCAGATCGCACATAGGTACTAAGTTAGTAACTGGGTGAGCCAATATCTCGTAATACATTAGAGTGTTGTAATTGTACATGTGACATTTGTAATCAAAATACCTTAGTGTATTAATAAACAGTATTGACAAGACTGCCAAATTTAAATATATATATATATATTAAGCTTAAAGATAGAGTCACGAAATTGAAACAAATTTAAACACATAAATAATAATAATAAACATATTGTAAATTGGATAATATATCAAGAAAATTAAACAGATAAGTACACTCATTCCAGAA